ATTTCCTTCATACTAGTAATGTTATCAGAAACATAGAAAGTGACACTAAGTTGCTGCAAATGTAATGCCTGTGTGCTTATAAATATACATATGTGGACCTATCCTTTGGCTTTATTCATTTCTTGCAGTATACAAAGCATCAGAGAATTGAAACAAAATGATCAAAAGCACAGGTGGCTGTCCAGCTGACATGAGAGCATACTTTTATTGTTTTAAAATATATCGATTTATCTGGGAGACTAAACAGGCTGAAAACTCATGCAGTAAGAAACAGCAACACTGCACAGCAAAAGCACTTTCAGAAAGCACCTTTACCCTAAATAAATACTGAATCACTCTGGCCCTGCTAATGGTGTGCCCCCACCCTTGAGAAATTTAGCTGTTCTTTTCAAAAACTCCTTTGGTTTCCCTTGAAATCTCTCAGTTTTCAGCTCAGGACAAATGTCCATATTGCTTTGAATTTTACTTGAGAAAAATCCCGAGGCAAAGCAGATCCATATGGAAATGGCATGGACGTGTGCACTGGTATGCTCCTCTTAGGACCGTAACGGTTGAATCTTTTGAGATGGGCATGGCTGGAATCATCAGCTGCTTGGTGTGCTTGCAGTGCATTGCTAGAACAGGAACACATCCTACCTAACACTATGATCTTATATGTACTTATTCAGAAAGAAGTGCCACAGGAGTCAGTGAGACCAACCCCCAGGTAAGCTGGTATAGAATTATAGTCAGGCAGCAGGGATACTAACAGCTCAAACAGATCTCTGTATACAAAGCTACAGAGCTAACCCTTCAGGAAATCATGGGCAACCTCCAGAAAGCTCCTGAGCTTTTGGGAAAAGAAGCTTTGCAACCACTCACCAAATGTTAGGAAGAGCCTCAGCCTGAATGACCTTAACCTTATGCAAAGGCTCATCAGAGAAGTTCCATTAGCCTCTTTTCATTTTCTGTCATCTATCTAACATTGCTGTAATGCTCACTGGCATTTTTTTCTCAGATCCTAGGTTTATTAGTGCTCATCTGATCCCAGAAAGTGACAACCCAGAAGATGATAAGATTTATTTTTTCTTTCGTGAAAATGCAATTGATGGGGAGCATTCTGGAAAAGCCACCCATGCCAGAATAGGTCAGATCTGCAAGGTAAGATTGTGAGTTAATGATGTGGGATGAATACCACTTTGATGATCTTCTGCCAAAGCTGTCCCAGGCAGGCTTTGGGTGATCACAAGAGAAAAGATGTCCTGGAGGGATGTTCCAGTGGCCCAACACCACTATCCACAATTTTGTGTTAAATGAATTGCAAATCAGGGTACACTTCATGTTGTTTGTTTGCTTGTTTATGTGCAACACTTGTATATTATTTAATATAATAAACTTCCTAAGTGGTATAGGGACTGGCAAGGAATGCAATGTAACTTCTGCTCTGAGGTTTTGCCTGTCTTCACCATTTGACAGCTTACATGGGACTCTGCAGCAGCCTTCCCCAACCTGATGTCTTCCAGATGTGTTGGATTACAATCCCCATTATTGTGAGCCAACACCAAGGTTGCAGAAGGCTGCTCTGTTCAGGCACTAGCAAGGCTCACATAATGAACCACATAACCACACAATAAATGCCATTGTATTAAACAGCCATATCCTTAACGCAGTATTGTGAAATGCAGTTTCAACAATAAGGACATCAACAAGAAAAGATCCATAGATATTGTACCTTATATGTTGTTTCTTTAGTACTTTCAGGAGGATTCCAACAAGCTTTAAGACCATATCTAATCTCTGAGTGCACTTATTCATAATTTGGGTACCCCGCTCCCCGTTCCTATTATAGATTGGTATAGTTTTCTCATTATTTTACTTACAACAGTGTAGCAGCAGATTATTCTCAGGTGACCCTACCCTGGCACCTGGCCCAGGTACAATACTGGAAGGACTTCCACAATACTAAGCATCCTGAAACCTAAGATCACATCAACTTTGCTTGTGGTGACCTTGTGGGTCTATAACACATGACGCGGGTGTCTTAGGTAGCAACAGCCCAACTATAGATTTCTTTCTGGTAGAAATTTGCCTGCCCTCCATTTTGTTGTCCTTTAGGTGCCAGCTAAGACCTATTTCCTTGTGAGAACATTTGGAATTTGGGAAGTGCTCTTTTTGTGTTTTGATTGGTTTTATTCTATTTAAAGTTGTTTCTGTGCAATGCTATAGAGGTTGTTAACTACCCTGGACTCTTGTGAGGAAACATGGTATATAAATAAAGCAGTGCAAGCCCAAATATCAGGTCCAAGCATCTACACCAGACAGGATACTCTGTTCAACCAACAGCCTTTTGCATCCACTGCCAGAATCCAATGATCCATCAAGAATGCAGGAGATGATTCTGGTCCCAGTAGGTCCAAGCTTAGTCTGCCCTCTCTAGTGTGGAGTGAACTCTGGTAGCCAGGAATGAGATGCCTCACACTATATCTAAAAAAGCAAACTTAGTTACTGTACTGATCTGAACTATTGCCTTACAGAATGACTTCGGAGGCCACAGAAGTCTCGTTAACAAGTGGACCACCTTCCTCAAAGCACGCCTGATGTGTTCTGTGCCAGGGCCCAATGGCATTGATACTCATTTTGATGAACTCCGTAAGTGGATGGATAATTTGTTGAATGCAAATCACTCTCTGGTTAGCAACATGTTCATTATTAAATTGACTAAGTTGTGTTTTTCCCCTTTCTTATTCCTCTCTCCCTCCCATCTTTTCCCTTCCTTTCCCCCTTCTTTTTGGCAGAGGATGTGTTTCTAATGAACTCAAAAGACCCTAAAAATCCAATAATCTATGGTGTGTTTACAACATCCAGGTACAGAACGTATCATTTTACTTACAGGGAAGCCGACAGTAGGGGTGGGGGTTGTTTTAAAAAGTGTTCTTTGTTAAGATGGTACTTTAAATAGGTAGGCATTTTCTTAACCTTTGAACTGCTAGAATCCAGTAGATGTAAGAGGTTAATGAATCAGAGTTTTCTTATGAACAACGTACATCATCACTCTGAAGCCTGCAGCTGCACAGTTTAAAAGAATGTGCATGTTTTTCTTTATTAGCCCTTTTCCTAGCACAGGGTTTATTTTATTTAATAACCTTAAGAATCTTTCTTGGGTCTCATACATCTCTGAATGCAAATGGCTAGTTTTCATCAACATACTGAGACTAGAAGCAGTCTCTTTGCTTAGGATTTGCCTATGAGAGAATTCACAAACCACATAAGTTGCTTTCAGAGGTCTATCACTTCTCTAGTTTGTAAACGTGCTAGGAAGTTGACCTAGATGGGCAGACGTTTTCCTACTTAACATGGAGTTGTGTGGGAGCATATACAGAGGCAGCAGCTAAATGGAAGCGGGACTTCAGGAAGAAAAGACACCTGAGGAGGGAGTAGAGGGAAATGAAAATTAAAATATGAGTAATGCTTTACTCAGGGTAATTGTTTGAATTAAGAGACATATTCAAACCAGTGGATTTTGAATTGTATCGAGCTGACGTGGTTTTTCCTTTCCAAAAAGCACAACTAAGACATGAATATTTGGTTTTGCTAAAGCTCTCATTTAGAAATATTTTTTCCTCTTTGTCTATTTGCTGTATCCAATGTTAGCAACATCTTCAAAGGATCAGCTGTATGTATGTACAGCATGACTGACGTGAGACGGGTGTTCCTTGGTCCATACGCTCACCGAGATGGTCCCAACTATCAGTGGGTCCCTTACCAAGGGAGAGTGCCATACCCACGTCCAGGAACTGTAAGTGCACCATTCATGAAAAGTCAGATGATGCCAAAGAAGGGGTTGCTGGCTTTGACTGGGGACATATTGTCCTGTCTGTAGGATTAAGCATTGATGAGTCCCTTGAGACAATCCACATGGATTTCAGCTGTAAGGAAACTCAAGAATGGTGAAGTTATCTATTGAAATAGTAATGCATGCTTTCTACCTCTTAAAACTATATTAGAGGAAAGTCCTAACCAATGTTTGTATAATAGTATAAATAATGTTGAAAAATACAGTAGGTTAGGGAAAACGCTTGCAAAAATGTGCTGATTGAGTAATGCTGCATACAAAAATGCTACAGCAATGCTATAGGATCAGATATTTCCAGGCAATATACCAGGGCACTGCTGTCTGGTTCTCTCCTTCTCACAGAAAAGCAGAATTGTGAGAAGGAGTATTGGAGAATTCAGCCGAGCCACAAGGAGCTGATCTGGAGAGTTGCACAAAAGCAGCAATTGCAGAGCGATTGCACTTGGGTCCATTTCCGTAAATTTGATCACACCACAGTGGGTCCAAGAGCCATGTTCCTAGTCCCTCTGATGATAATGCAACCAATGGAACCTTTTCCACTCATGCAGCAAAATGAAACTGCAAACACCTGAAGTGGCACAGTGTGTTGTACCAATGGAGTCTACAGACGGGCAGTTGCTTTTCTCATATAAAAATTCCTTTCAAATAAAAAAGTTGGCACATGAGGAAGAAAAGCTGTAGTCCAGCCCCCTTCCTTTCCCTCTTGGGGTGATTTTGTGTGTGTGGGTAGGGTAGTATTAAAATGTGATTCCCATCAAATTTTCCAATGCATTCTGCTGTTTCTGGATGCTAACACCATATTCTGTTCCATATGTATAATGCACCCAGGCAATCTTCTGTGTAAGCACTTTGAATTGTCCATTATATGTTCCTCCAGGCAATATTAAACATTTGATTCACTCCGTATAACTGTAGCATAAACTAAAGCCTATATATCAAAAGGAATTGATTATCTTGGACAGAAGAAATGCCTAATCAATATATGTGGAAGTCCAAACTATGTTCAAGCATTTTAAATATGTTTACTGTAATGA